TCAGCCACTGATACATCTGCATCGACTACAACAACATCTACTACTACGACAGGCGCTGATACGGGCGAAACGAGTATAACAACAACCATAATAACGACAACTACGACAAGTACGCCTTCCGAAGTAATAGGTAATTATTTTTGATAGAAGATGTGCATTGATATCAAAGGTTCTGTTTTAGTTCTTTCGAATAGGACAACGTTTTTGATTGAACTCAATTGTACTTATGAAAATTCAACGCTTGATACGGTATAGTGCGATTTCAATGTCATTACCGAATGTCTCAGTGTTCTTATATTTAGATTTTAAACAGCATCCCTAATAAATTTAAAAATCCACCTTATCCTTTATATGTGTTTCAAAACACAACTGAGTATGTATAAAGTTGTAAAACTAAAGCTAAGTATTATTTTTGAAATTTAAGGTGTGATAATACTACTGGAAAATTTCGTATACCAATGGACTTTGAATTTGATAATAATGCTACAACATTGAATGATCTAATTAATACCATGGAAGATTTAACAGAACGTGTTGGAGTTGAATTGTTCATTAAGGATTTATGTGGAAGAGATACTGAAGAAGGTAAATATTAAAAGTTTATCAATGTGAAACGAATATTTGAAAGAAATCTTTGTGCGAATATTTTATTGTTTGTTATTATCAAAAAATGTTTTATTTTGTTGTTTCAGTAAAAAACGTGACATCGTGTTATGTTATTAATGCATGTGGCTTGTGTGGTACTAATCCAGTGCGTGGTGTATGTTATCCAGAATTCAATGAACCTAAATGTAAATGTTTTGCTAGTGGAAATGATACAACAGGACCATATGAGGGCAATTTCTGCTATTCGTCAAGTTCGAAACCATTACAATCCACGAATTCTCCTTCTCGTTGGACACCGATTATTGTTGGTGTTCTAGCTGGTCTAACTGCTCTCTTTTGTGCGATAACATGTTGTCTATGGGCTATAGCTATTTGGCGTCGTCGAAAACGTCATCCTAAAGAGTAAGTTTTATTAATTAAATAAGATTAATTTTATTTTCATTTATTCAAAATAGAGATGAACTAAGAATTCGTCGTATATGGCATTTACCACGAGCTGTAGTGCCAGCACCAGTTACAACTGAAAATCCTCAACCTTATTTAGGAACACCACCACCCGGTTCAAATCGAGCAGATTCTATTCATACAGACAGTAACACAATA